TTACCATAAAACATAACCTTATTGAAATTAAACCAATTTCGGGCGTGCGGCTTATGAAAATTCCCTTTAAGATCTCTATTTCCCTAACTTAAGCAGATTTTTGGCATTTATCATGCTAATTGCCTGCAAAACTTGTGCTTTTTTTAATTGAAATACCTAGCCAGAAAACCTATGATCAGATTTTGTTGCATATTCTATATCCTGACAGCGTTGCTGCCACTGCGACTCGCTGTTTTGGCAGTTTTGATTTGTGGCACAGTTACTTAGCTTAATTAACAGAAGGTTAATAATTCAAGTGGCCGCTTGAGTCAGCTGTCTGCTTGCCTATTGAAGGTCTTGGCGGCCTTGGCTGGCTTTTGAGGCCAGTACGCTGTGTTAGCGGCAACTGGCGTTAGTTTGTGATTTGCAACTTTGACAGCTTGAACTTGCGCTCAAAGTTATGCTACAGCATTTGCAATTGCAATTAAAGCAGCCCTCTCACTCTCTCTCTCTCTTTATTTGTCTCTCCACATCGAATGGGCTCATTTGGAACTGTCAACTGCACTGGATGCGCCTTCTTTGTAAGCAGCAGAGCAAAACTCAAGCACGTTGAGTGGGATTAAACGATATTATAGGGTATTAGACATTTAGGCCAAGTGAGACAAAACGCCGTAACGAAACGCGCACACAAAAAGCAAAAGCACCAGCAGCAGCAGCAGCAGCTGAAGCTGCAACAACAGCAGCAAAGGGCCAAGTCATAGTCTCAGCCATAGCGAAAAGGACGTAATCCGAGTCGAGTGTCGAGTTGATTCGATTCGATTCGAGTCAAGTGGGGGAAGACGCACTTTGAGTGAGTTGAGGTTCAGGCACCGCTGTCGCTGTCGCAGTCGCTGCCGCAGTCGCAGCTGATGCTGCTGCTGACGTTGGCTTTGGCGTCGCTGTCATTAGTGATTAAGTGCCCTGCAGCAAGTAATTTTTCTTGCTTCAGCTCAACAGAGCGACGCACCAACACACACACACGCACGCACGCACACAAACAGAAACACCGACACACAGCTGTTAAGTTAAGGCAGCAGTCACTGTTAGTTAACAGCACTGGAAGCTTCATATTCGAACTGTCACGACTCGTACACGAAGTGCCAGAGAGAGTGGGAGAGAGAGAGCGCACGAGAGCGCATCGTTATCAGCGCTCTCGCGTTCGTTTGTTGTCAGCGCTGAGCGCGGCGCCGTTGTTCGGGTTTGCCCCCCCATAGACAGCTCTCGGGCCATTGGCCATATTCCAGTTAAGCGCCATCTGCAATTTGTGGCACAGTCAGTGCCGTTTGGGGCCATCAGCAAGAAGCAGGATTGTAACGGTATAACCTGCGTCGTCGCGCAACTGTTTGTCCACAGAAGCAAGCAGCAAAGAACCAACAAAAAAAAAAAAAAGAAAAAAAAAAAATACAAAGAAAAAGCAACCAACAAAAAAAAATTAAAAAAAAAAATAAGCAAAAAGAAAAGCCCCATAAAATGTTCTAGCACATAATGTAAATGCAAAATCAAAGAAATAATACAAAATAATAATAACAAATCAAACGCAACCAAAAAAAACGTGAAAAGTTGAGAATCGAAAAACGAGCTAACGCCAATTGAGTTATCGATATCGTTATCGTTATTGTTTTACGAGAGTTGTTGAGAATTGAAACGCGTTGCCATTTTAGCAATTTTTGTTGGTGTTCAACTTATAAAATCTGCTAAGCATAACTCTCACAGCGCTGCCTACACTGCTTCCCACCCCCCTTCCCGCAAAATAGCGAAGCAAGCAGCCTACCCTACCCCTCGCTGCCGCAGCCTCCGCCCACGCGGCCGTTACGGCAGTTGATGCTGCGCTCTTGGAAGAAATACCTACACACTCACACACACACACACACACACGCAGAGAGTACATTTGTAATTATGTACACACGGGTATTTGGGCATTTGTTATGTTAGTTTTATACGTAACGTAAGCGCTTTACGTTTGCGTAAACGTGTACGTGCTGCTATGGGTGTGTGTGTGTGGATGTGTGTTTGCGTAATGTTTCGATAGATCGCGATCGATACAGCGATTGAAGTAACAGTGGCATATCGACTGGCCGCCACATGAAGCCTTTAAATTTGTATTGCAAATGTTATATAATATGTGAAAATCATAGCCCTGGCTGCTGGGCATCCCCCTCAAATAGTGACCACGTTGCATAAACAAAACGCCGTGGCAAATTGCAGGAAAAACTACAACGAAAAGTTCATGGCGAATAGTTTTTGTGCCATGTTCCGGGCTTATATAAGCAGCCGCCATACAGAAACAGCAGAAACCCGAAGTAGCACACACTCACACACACACGCATAAACGCACAAAAAAAAAAAGAAATGAGAAAATACCTACACATATACATACACATGCATGTATGTGTGTGTGTGTGTGTGTGTGTGAGCGCGCAGTGTCAACGCAGCAGCAAATAAAACAAAAGTGAAAGTTAACAAATACACACGCACAGTGTGGCCAGAGCGCCCATTCAAATGACATTCTATTCATTTGCTCACTCCATTTATGATTATTATTATAAAAAAAAAATACCATATATATACATTTTTTTTTGTTGTTTGTTGAAAAGCGCAGCGTCTTTTGTGAACCACACGCAGCGAATGAAACAAATAAATACGAATACATGCATTAAAAATCAACAAAACAAATTCTTCGTGCTCTAAACAAAAAGTACGCTTTGCCTGCAAGTATGCTGCGTTTATTGTTGGACAACCAGCAGCAGCAGCAAGCAGCGGCAGCGGCAGCGGCAGCAGCAGCCGCAGCCGCAGCTAACACCAATACACAGTCAGACACGCAAAATCCACATGCAGGCGCCGCAGTCGCTGTCGTCTTTGGCGCTGCCATCACACACACACACACACACACTCAGACATTGCCATAAACATATGTATATATACACGTACGCACTTACAGTTACCACCAACACTAGCACGTACAGTGACAAAGAAGACGGCGACTTCTTCATGCTGCTACAAAAGGCACGCCGAGTGCTTGCTTGGCTGCCCTAAGTAACTACTCACTCACACACATATAGAAACATATACGTTGCTGCTACACACCACCCACGAGCACTGTTTTGTGTTTGCAGCAATAACAACAAGAACAAGAGCAAGAACACCAACACTAACAACAAGCAGCGGCAGCAGCAGCAGCAGCAAGCAGCGTCGGCCGTTGCGAATTATATAAATTTCTTTGGCCGTTGCGTGTGCTGCTGCTGTCTCTCAATACGTGTACGTGTGTGTGTGTGTGTGTGTGTGTGTGTGTGTGTGTGTGTTTGTGTGCTAGGGACGTTTTTTCGGCGTTCTTCTTTTGTGCGGTGGCTGCTGCGGCTGCTTCGGTTTCACTTCGTGTTCGTCATGTGCTCGTCGTGGCGCTTGCTTTCATTCTACAATCTTGCTTTCTCTCGCTCACACTCTCGCTTATGGGCTCGCTTAAAGCTCGATGCTGTGTCACACACACACACACACACACACACACACACACACACACACACACACACACACACACACACGTATTGCTTTTGCCTCTTTCGCGTGAACAAATGCAAATCAGCAGACAATGCATAATGCAAAGTTGTTGTCATAAATCTCAGTCATCAAATTGCGTTTTATAAGCTCTATTTTTGCAAAGCGCATAACGCATGTAACGGCATTTCAAATGCAAATCAAATGCAGAGCGCTGCTCGCCAGCACAAAAAAACAAAAAATAGTAAGAGAGCGCGCAGCTGAGCTTGGAGCGTGGGCGCACAATAAGCAACTAGCCATACATAAACCGTTGCGTTGGCGTTTCGATAGCGAAAAACAGCAAGAGATAGAGAGAGAGAGAGAGAGAGAGAGAGTGAGAGGAAGAGGGAGAGGCTGAGGGTGAGAGAGTGAGGTCGGCGAGAGAGCGCGCTGAAAACCGAAATTTCCGTTTCGAAAAGCGCAAAGCGCTGCGGCAAGCGTTAAAGTCTTTTGTTGCCCGAAAATTATAAAAATTAAACAAAATGTAGAAAAAGTCATTAATCAAATAATAACCTAATCATAAATAATGCTTACAGTCCAGCCAAACAAGAAAAATAAGATTTGCTGCTATGTGACCTTCGTGTGTGGCTGTAAGTCCAAAAAGAATGCAACAACAACAACAACAACAGCAGCAGCAGCAGCAGCAAAACAAGAAAAAACACACGACACACGAATTTCAATTTAAATCTCAAGGTTAATGTGCAGCAGTGTCGCAATAACAACAACAACAACAACAACAACAACAACAACAACAGCAGCAGCAACAACAACAACAACAACAACAAGAGGCAAATAGTTACAGCAGCAACATCAAAACGACGGTCCCAACACAAGCTAAATATAAATCAAAAAGAATAAAAGAAGAAAAAGTGTTGTTAAATGTTCAAATGTGCTGTGCTATCGAAATCAGTGGCAAATAAATCGTTTATCGGCCACAGTCGTGACTATCGTTTGCATTGCGTTTGCATTTGAGTTTCTGTTAATTCCCCAGTTTACTTTAACTCGATATTCCGTTACGGTTACCGTTACGGCCCCTCCATACACTGCAAGCAAGCTGTGCGCCTCTGCCATGAGTCGCTGCGCCGATCTGCGATATCAACGAAAAGTGCTTGTTAATTGACGGTCTGGCAACGCCATTGCCATTGCCATTGCCATTGATAGGTAGCCATTTGGACTGGTCGAAGCACGTGATTCATGCCGCTAGCCGCAGAGCGCAGAGACGAGCCGAGCAGTTGCCAGGATACGGAAACGGTAACGCTTGGAGACGCCTTCAAGGCGCAGCAGAAGGAGACGCAGCAGCAGACGCGGCAGCAACAGGCGAAGATCGAAACGACACAGACATATTAATGATGATGATGGGGCCATGAGCCCATCATTTATCGCATTGAATTGGAGTCGCAAGCGCGTCTCAAGCGGGCCTGCACCATGCTAGCACCGCCGAACCCGAGGTCAATATGCGGCCAGGACCCGGGCTGGTCGTGATGGCGCTTGCGTTTATTTCGGGGGCTCGGCGTGCCAGCACCACAAACACCATCAGCAGCAGCGGCGGCAGCAGCTCGATAACCACAACAACAACAGCAACAACAACAACAATAACAACAACAACAACACCAGCAATAACAACAACAGCACATTTACCGTCCAGCTACGACTCGGGCCGGCAGAGCGGCAGAGAGTCGTCAATTCTTGGAGCTGGTGACGGCGGCTTCTCGTTTCTGCTGCCAATATTGCATGACGTTAGCCCTGGTGACGACGCCCCCGCCCAAAATTTTCCGCTCAACTTTGATTTCTATAGGCGGCCGGCGTTGCACGCACCAGACGAACCGCTGCGACGTGCTCGCAGTCTCGAGGCGGGCACCGAATCGGCGGCGGGGGCGCCCGAGTCCAGCGAGGCGACGCTCATCGGTGAGAACGACAGGGAGAACGGGCAGACGGTAGCCGAGCAGGAGGAACAGCAGCAGGAGGAGGATATCAGCGGGCTGCCCGTGCAGTACGCCTCGTCGCGCGCCTTTGACGACGACGCGGACGCGGAAGCGGACGGGGACGGGGACGGGGACGCCGTCGCGGACGAGGACATCTTTGCGCTGGTCGCCGAGGACGATCTGTTGTCCGAGGAGTCGTTCGATCGGCTGATAAAGCTGAGCGAGGACGCCGACAACGCAGCCGCCGAGGAGGAGGACTACAATCTAGAGCAGAGCCAGCAACAGAGGGAGCGGGAACGGGAACAGGAGCCCGAACCAGAGCAGCAGGACGAGAGTCGACTGGTCGATGAAAGCGTGCTGCATGCGAAACACAACGAGAACGGGAACGAGCACGGGAACAAGAACGGGAACGGGAACGGGAACGGGAACGAGAGGGACAACAGCAGCAACAACAAGCGCGAAACAGGTGAGGAGCAGCTGGAACAGAAGCAGCAGCCGGAGCCGGAGCCGGAGCAGGAGGAGATCAGAGTTAACGACGCCTATGCGTCGCATCTAATCGCAATTGCCCAGAGGGACGGCGGCACCTCGTCGGTCGCTGTTGCTGCTGCAACAACAACAACAACAACAAAAACAACAACTAGAACGAGCGGAGCAACTGCATCTGCAGCTGCCGGCGTCAAATTGCGAACGCCCGTGGATACCAAGAAGTCCATACTCGGCAGTGAGGCAGCTCTAACACGCCTTAATCCTTGGATATCAGCTTGTGATCTGGCACAGCCGGGCACAACAGGCACCGATTTGCAGGTGAGTCGCTGTGAATTCCTTGCAAGAGAATGGGAATCGGAATATTAGTCCGTTTGAACTAGGATTAATCACTTTTCTGACCATAAGAAGGAAAACTCCTTGTGAAAATGTTGAATCTCTATCAAAATATGCGTCGCAAAAACGTGAGAAACGTAAGAAACGTCTTCCAGGACCTTCGGCATGGCTGGTTGGCCCGTGTCAACGTCTGCACATTTCTCATTTTTGTTCCCATTTATGCCAGCTATTTTTGGCGCAGTGTATGTCATGCATTGATATTGGATATGGATATTGTTTGTGACATTGCTGACATCAGTCGAATGCACAATTATATATGTATGTGTAATATCTTATTGAATTCGCCGCGGGGGGCGGCCTTGCACGTGGCTTGCCGCATACTGAACAAATGCAGCTCCATTTCATATTGGCCACATGTACATAATTATTGTTATGTGACGAGGCAACTCAGCCAGCGGCTAGAGGTCACGCGTATGATACGGGCGCCATGAAAAGATACTGCTTTAGGAGCACATGACAATAGCCAGAACGTATTATTTGTTTTCTGTTACTTTTGAGAGCGGCAGATGTCGAAAGACTTTGTCAAGATGATGGTAACAAAGAGCAGGTCCTGCATGTAGATGTCCGTCTCTTATCTAATTCTCATTTCAAATGTTTTCATAGGGATCTCTAAAATCTCTCATATGTCCTAAGCTGTATACTACTAAAGTTATCTAAATACTCGTCGGACTAAAAAGTGTATTCAGTGTGTCGGCTTGATAGGGCCCAATACGCATTTTTCTCTACATTTTTATTTATATGGCGCCTCCGCCTGTTTTCAGCAGCTATTGTTGTCGCTGGCAATGCAACATTACACAGATTAAATGCATACAAATGCCATGACAAATACAAATCGATGGAATAGCGTGCTTCTTCCACGACTTGAAAAGCCCCTTATGCATTGTTACCTAATTGCATAAAAGTGTGCCCAGCTCTTGTTAAAATATGTAGCAGCCAGCTTTTGTCAGCAGTTGTAAATCCGAATCCACCTTTATTCCACATGTGCGAATTGATAATGTACTTCGATATTTGCCGCTTTTTGTCTAGAGTATTCTAATTGTCAGTGGAAAAAAACTGTATAAATTAGTTTGTGCCAGAAACGTTGCGAAATTGTGCATTTTAACTATTTTCTGCTTAAATATTAAACTGCATATTGAATGGGAGCAGCTGCTTTTGCAGCTGCCAATTGGCTCGAACGCGAAAGCGACAAGCGACAAATTTCCATATACTTTTATTACTAGTGTTTCTCAAGTTGAGGTCTTGGGGGGCATGGGGGAATTTGGGCACCAAGGGCTGCCACTCAATCGTAAGAGAAGGAGGAGGTGCAGGGGGAGGTGGAGGAGGGTTTCATTCTTTCTTTTCGCTCGTTTCACTGTGCCGCAGCTCTGATTGTGCATGCAAAGTGTTTGTGTGACAATTGCGCCACATCTTGGGGCCACTCAAGTTCTACTTTCCAAGTTGCACGTCATCATTGCCCCATCAACAACATCATGATCATCATCATCATCATCATCATCATCAGCCTGCAACGTGTTACAAATCAACGAAAATGGCTTTGGTAATTGTGCCAGCAGAGCGAGTGCATAAAAAACATACCAAAGAAAACGAGCAAAACTTTCAATTTGTCGTCACTTTTTGCATTTTCATTACAATTTTATTTTATTTTTCTGATATTTTTTCTTATATTTTTTTTGTCTGTGTGTGTGTGTTTTTTTTTGTGCTCTTGGCTTTGTGTGCGCACTCTTGAAATCACAGGCCGGCTTTTGAAATATTGCCAAAATGTGCGACCACACCTACAACTCAACGCCGCCCAACCCCTCCCAACCCAGCCCCCTACTACCACAAAATGGCTGGCTTTTTTTTTTTTTTTATCAGTGCGCATAAAATTCTCATTGGTTTGCCGAGTATAATTCAAATTTTAATATTTATTAACAGCCGCCAACGTTTTCGTCGTCGTCGTCGTCTTTCCATTTGTCGTTTTGCCTGTTTTCCTATGCAAATTTAATTCAATTTCGCGGCATTTCTCAATGGCCTTTTGATTGCGATTGCATTGCCGCAAGCGGCGTTTTGGCCATTGGCCACATTTTGGTCAACAAAAACTGAGGAAAAACAAAAAAAAAAAAAAATGTATTAACAAAAACAATTAAAATGCTGCCTCAATAGCAGTTTCGTCAAGCAGACAGACAGACAGACAGAGTCGGAACAGACAATGACTTTTAATGCCAATTAGTTTGCTTTTACTTGCACTTCAATTCCATTTCAGAGACACACGCGCAGCTATTGATTTTCAATCAATTGGCCACGTCCAGGGAAATGCTTTGCAGCTCTGCCCTGCTCTCTGTTGAATCTATATGCTTTTCCTGTTGTTTATTTGCGGCCAACGGCAATTAAATAATCAAGTCAATCAAACCATTTAAATGTGCTGAACTGTTGCCCTGTTGTGCCAAAGCGTGCCAGCTGAGTGCCGGTTGATAAATTGAAAGCCAAACACGCAGCATATCATTTAATGTCGACTTAACAGTGTCCCACGTTGGTCGCCAGCACTTATTAAAGTGCGCGTAACAGTGAACGGGCACAATAAGAAATAAATTCCAGCTTGTTTACCGATTGAACAGCCCTCGTAAATACCTATTTACATAGCTGAAGCACTGGCACGGACTTTAGGAGTGCCTCAAAAGTTGAACCGTGCCCCACGTTGGGCGCCAGCACTTATTAAAGTGCGCGTAACAGTGAACGGGCACAATTAGAAATAAATTCCAGCTTGTTTACCGATTGAACAGCCCTCGTAAATAACTATTTACATAGCTGAAGCACTGGCACTCGGAGTGTCTCAAAGGGCTTGGCTTGCATTTATGCATGCTGTGGCTGTCATATTCATATTCGTGTTTGTGCAACAAATTGCGGCAACTTTAATTAAAATACCAAATGTGCCAGGCGAGACACTTGCTACGCTGCCGCTGACATTGACGGACGCAACAAAGTTTTCAATCCTTTTGCCGAGTCATTGGCTGTTGCAGCCAAAAGTGCGGGCGCCCGAGCAGTAACTGGCGCCCGAGCAGGGACTGGCGCCCTTTGTGCAGCTGGCAGCCAATTAAAGTTGACAGCTTGGCAGCAGGCGAAAAATGTTAAGCAAAGCAAAGACCAGTTTCAATTAGCCATAAACAGCGCTGCGCTGTAAATAAGTTAACATTCTCTTGGCCAAACTATGTGCGCCCATCTGCACGCAACTCTTGCTCTTTTTTATGGCTGCCTATATATTGACAGACAGTCAGACAGACGTACAAATGCCAGCTGTCAGCTCATTGGGAATACAAGTGCGAGCACGGAATTTCTGATGAGGCCTCGTTCTCGTCGAGTGCGAGTGCGAATGCGAGGCTTTGGCAACATCGCAACAGCTTCAGCTACACAAGCTCGCGGCCTGTTGATGTGTTGATGCTGCCAACCCAAAGACCTGGCCCCTGCTCCCTGCTCCCTGCTCTCAGCTGCTTGCTCCTGCCGTCGCCTGTTGTCAAGTGCTAGGTGGGTTATTGTGCACATGGTTTATGCTGCCAGCTTCTGCTGCATATGCATGCACTCGGCGCATGTCATGAGTGCCTGTCAAGTGCGCCTCAGTTTCTGGCGAACGTCTACGTCTCCGACTGCACAATTCTGCGTGGCCTTTTTGCTTTAGCCTCTATACACATACATATATATATATTCCTTCTTTTTATTTTGTTTTGCCTCTTGCACGTTGCATAGTCGAGTGCAAACATTTATAACAACGCAGCGAAGCCAAACGGGGGCAGGGACCCTGCAGCTAGAGTTTCCAGCAAGTGGCTATTGGCAAACAAATCGCAGCTTTGTCCAAGTGCCTCATATTATAGAAATTGTGGCCGATATTTTCAATTCGATTCGATTCGAAACAAACTCAAAGTCAATTCAACAGTTGCAAAATATATATATTGCATTCGTCAAAGGGGCAGCCCTTTCAAATTCAATTAAAAACCCATGCTTTGTTGTGTTTAATTCAAATTTTATAGAGCTTCCAGTTAAATTTGTCTGTGTGTGCGTGTGTCTTCGTGTGAGTGTGTGTGTGTGTCTTCGTGTGAGTGTGTGTGTGTGTGTGCGAACTAGTGTTGTGAGTGTTTATTTGTGTCAAGGATGTGCACACAAAATCAATTATTTTGTAAGCAGGCAAAACGCACAGCAGTGGCAACTGCAACTGCAACAGCAGCAACTGCTGCCATCTGCAATATGATTACATCATTTTCCCAACCAGCCCGACACACACACACACACACACACGCACACACACACACACAATGCCAAATGGCAGACAGACAAGCCAAATTGCAGTTGAATGCGAACGCTGTCATAAATTTCCGCTCTGCTTTTGACGACGTCGACGACGACGGAGGAGCTGAAGGCTTGCTGCTGCCTGTTCGCCACTTGAATGGCAAATCGTTGCGAGCTATGAAACTTGTGGCCGCCAGGGATTTGGACAGGCTGCAATAACACTGATTGAATGCGCCTTGCCGCTGGACAGTTGCGACTGTCCCGTCCTGCCGGGCAGCATTCGGACACACACTAACAAGCGCTGCGTCCGAGCAGGGACTCGGTTGGCACACACACATACACACACACTGCAGTTATTGGCATTTCCGTTGTGTCCTTGTCGATGATGCCAGAAATAAGTAAAGTGCTTCAGGTAGCCATAAGAAATTCATAGGCATATCCTGTCAATGCGCTGGCGACTCCGACTGCCGTTTTATTGCCTGTCTGCAATGGCAATTCATTGAAGATTGCAACATTTGTTCGATTTGAAATCAAATTGCGCAACAATTATTAAATATGACAATGAAACTAAGCCATACAAATAATCAAATCGTGCGGCAAATAGTTCTTGATGCACTGACTCGCCTGTGTTTGTCTTAAAACAATTTACTGCAACTCGGCCTAGCTATAAG